TAACAAAGTTCCAAACGTAATGCGTAATCAACTTAACAGCCTGCTCCCAGTTGGCTTGTTAGCTCAATTGGTAGAGCGCTGCACTGGTATCGCAGAGGTCAGTGGTTCGAATCCCGTACAGGCCTGATTTTTTTCAGGTCTGATTTTCGCTATTGCATAAATAGCGCTATCTACTGCGAAGGATCGTGCATCATACGTAAAAATATATTGTCTACATTATGGCTACAGTGGGAATTTTCCTGGAATTTTGAGATCCATTTAAGCTTAAAGCTGGTTGGAATGGGGGCCTTTAAAAACAATAACAAGGTCAGACCACAACAGTACTGGCTACGTTTTCTATTCTTTGCGCGGGTGGGTTCTTTAACATCCCCTGTTAACCAGTACGTTGAAGATCCAAGAGATGGAGCTCACGATTTACCGTCCTTATCCGAGGAGACTAGAATTTCTAACCATTTGCAAATGTCAGCAAAGGTAGGACATTCTCCTCAGGTCTTTGATGACCCTGGTTGTTGGTCTGGTCTTGTACGTGCACTTGATGCCGTACATTCCATTGTCACTGAACAAATATGTTACCTTGTCCTTATTTTGTTATTTACTTTTTTTTTTTTTTTTGCCTTGTTTAGAGAATTCAGTCCTAAACAAGCAGTGAAGGTAAATAAAAGTAACATTGCTATATACTGTATGACTACTTTGGAAAATTGTATTTTAAGTGAAGATCGGAATTGCAATTGATTCATTAATTCCTCTTGTAGCGGATGAAAAAAAAGTATATTCACTTTGAAACTGTCTAATCAGAGATGACAAATGCCTCTGGAGTCTCCAAGCTATCAGCTATAGAGTATGGACATGATATATCCTGTTGAATTTTTTAGTTTAGAAATGAAAAAAATTTTTATTGTTAGATTGTGGAGGTTCTTGACAAACACATAAACTCTGCACGTAAGTCAAAGCTTTTGAATTGTTTTCTTGTAATTAGTCGAAATTTTGAATTTTGTTTCCAAAAGTTTAATTGTTAGGAAATAATTGTTATACATTTGAAAGGCTTGGGGGGGAGAATGTCTCTGTCACGAAGCCAAGGGAAGATTCCTGTTTTCCACTTAAAACACTTTCTTAGTTTACGACCTAACTTTACCGTGGTATCCTAAACTTCTGAAAACCTTACTAAATCTCACAATCTCGAACCTTATTTATAGGCGTCGATTACGTCATACCTATTTCTAAAACACTATTTTTAGCCGTAAGAACATTCTAGACGCTAATGATGACATGTCCTTTAAATAACTCAATAGAATGTTCTGGAATAAGGAGGAGTTTCTAGCACAGCTTATAAAAATAGTAATGCGGTAATTCATTGTTCTCAATTGTTCTCTTGATTTCTGGAAACTTCGATACATTCTACATAATTTTTTAGCATGTTTGAGGAATGCCCTTGTTACAACACCGTAAGTTTTCATTATATTGGTTTCAGATGAAGGTATTTTTACGAGATTACAGAATGTCGACCCTGATGCGATCAAGGAAAATGCAGAGTTTTTGAAACGTCTTATAGAAGCTGTAAGTTACATTAAAGATTAGTTATGACGTTAGAGCTGGAAGAACAGTTTCATGCAATGCAAATGCAATTTCTCATTTTTATAATATGCATAAAAACTACGCGCCTCTGATTGGCTGAAAACATGTATATTTTATGTAACACGAATGCTTATTACAAATATCGCGCTGTCAAAATTTCGTCTGTTTCGACTTTCTGTGACGCTTTTTTCGGAGAAATTATCAATAAGCAATAACAGGATTTCTCGTGCAATTTGCTTTAAATAAGCACATGTAGTTAATAAAGTGTGATAACATAATAATGTATTTTTATATTTATTTAACTGTCTTACACTGTTACTTCAGCCACAAAGATAGAAGTACCGCTCAGGAGCTCTCATTAGAATAGAAAAACTTTAAGGTTTCATAACACAGCGGTAAAACGGTAGGCGTGCTCGAGGGAATTAATTCTGGTCAGCCGTGCTCCAATTTCTTTCGCAAAATTTCAAAGGAATACACAAGAAGTAGCCACTGATCACGGTCCATATTGCCTAGCGTCTGTTTAGCAATAGGTCACAGAGGATGTCAAAATGTGATACGAACAAACAAGTAACGCACGAGGCTCAGCTGAGTGTGTCACTGCTGTTCCTTCCACAATTTGACGTCATCTGTGATGTATTTCTGTTCAGACTCATGTGAACGCGGAATCTATTTGTTTTATGCAACAGAATAGAAAAAAATGTCGATGGTGACATTATCTATGCGTTTCTCCTCCAACACTAAGATCACGAGCAACAATGCATGCGCAATTCAGTTCATTATATAAAAAAGAATAGATTTGTTCATTTTTTCAGTTTAATTTTTCATTTATATTCCTTCCTAGGGCCTTTCACATCATCTGCAGCCTCAATGTTATACAGTTATGTTCAAGCAGTTGGTGAACTTCAGACTGTCACAGGACTTTTACGAAGTAAGTAAGCATTAAATTTCATGGGAGTCTTCCTTGATTCTCAATCTTCGATTCTCGAAAGGTTCAAGGATCGAGTTTGAGTCGAGACTTTCAACTTAATTAAAAGTGTTGTTTACTAATAACGGGATTAAGAAGAGGATTATTATTAGTTTCCAACTCTAATTTTTCAGTCGTAAACAAATGCTTTTAGGGAAAAGTTGTTGCCCAGTGATTGTGGCATGGTTTAGTAATATAGAGCCATTAGCAGAGTTACCCCACACCTCTGCATACGGAACAAGGCAACTTTTTCGACAGGATATGGTATAGTATCAGAAATTTCTTTTTCGAATACGCACAGGCTGGCTCACCTGGAAGCGAAAAAAGTAGAAATAAACATAAGGGAAGGGTCACAGGAACATTGAAGTGATGTTATGCTATTGTTTGCCGTGCAAGGCTGAAAAATGTTCAAAATATTCATACATTTGCGTAGTCATCGTTCTTCTCAACCAGTCTTTTGTTTCACGATATCCGTAATGCTATTGTAGCCAAGGTTTGTCAAAGGTCCCCGTTAGCAGAAATGAAAAATGTCGCATGACATTTGTGAAGAGTTTGTTGAATTCAGACTTCTGTCGTTTGTATCCAGAGTGCTCTCTAAGATGGCAAATTGATTGCGTTATATCAAATCGCCATTTTGGATGCTAATCTGGCCATACGATTGGTTCATTTGTACCACGAAATACAAACTACTTTTCACCGATTGGCTGTGTTTAATAGTGTCACCGTTTACTACTGTAATGAGTCTGTTCGTGAACCAGGAAATGGCAGCCAGCTCAGTAGTTTCCAATGATAAATCAACAGCAATATCGTGTTGTTGGTATTTTCTTGATTTCCCTTTAGTTTTTACGAGTGATGAAGGAGCATCAGGTACCACTTAGTTTTCATCAGTACAGGCCGATGTTACAGGTAAGCAGAGAAATGTACAAACAAAACACTGATACAGTTTAGCAGCGTTTTAGCTCAGTGTAATAAATCGACATTGGTTAGCGTGGTCTGTAATTTTGATCACTTTGATAACGATTTTCTTTGTCGATGAGAGTATAGACCACGCTTAATCACTGTCCACTTGTTTTTTACCACAGTCTCCACATCAAATAAAACGATTCTTTCAGCGCGTTACATGTTGTGTGACACATGTTGTGTGACACATTGACGTGAGCAGTGTTGTCTGTCTTCATATCGACAACGGCAAATTGGCCAATCTGACTGCGACATCACTGCCAATTGTGATAAAAAAATGTAAAAATAAATATATAAACTTGAGAAAAACTGAGGCCATGTGCAAATCTGTGAGTGGTCATTCTTTCTAGTCCACACTCCTTGCAGACGTCGGGTAGCTTTTCTCAAGTCCTCAAACTTTCTCGCAGGCGACGAAACACTCATGCTGCAGTCATCACAATGAAAGTGAGCGCAGGCTCGATGTCATTTCGTGATCTTCATTTTAAGCCATTTCTATTGTATATAATAAACAGGCCCAAGTTGTTCGAAGTTCGTATAACGCTATCCACTGCATAAATCTCTATCTAATGAAAAACGCCATACGTTTTGCTATCACTTATCCACTGGTTAGCGATGTATCCTTTGGAGAGCGTTCTCCACCCTTCATACAGCTGGGCCCAGAATTGTAAAACTAAGAACTGAACACCAGCGGCTTTTAAACCTCGAAATAACTCAAAGAGGATGTAACTCTCTTATTTAACTTGTGTAGATGATGTCTATCGATGGTAAAGCAGAGGCGGCACAGTTTTGCTTTGACAAGATTAAGGTAGGAAAATATGAGTTTGTTTCTCGGTAGCCAGCCTTGTCAAAAGTACTTGAGTTCAATTTGAAAATAGTGAGAGTGCCCAGATTCTTTGACTTTAACCTTATGTAACAATACATTTTGTTTGTAACAAGGATGCTCAACCAGGATTCATTGTAGACTGTGAAGTAAAAATACTGTCTTGCAAAAAGATTTTCAAGAAGCTATCAGAAGTTCGATCCTATATTCTGATACTTTTGGTATCGTAAATTGACCACCTCAGAGTTTTGAAAACTGACGAGTCAAGTGAAGGGTCAACGCTCGAAACGCCTCCCTCGCCACCCCCACCCCCTCGCCACCCCCTCACCGACGCAGCACCAAAGTTTCTTTCGAAAAAGTATAAATTCAATTTCACGCTTAAAATAAATTGATTTGAATCAGGATCATTATCAAGACTTCAACATATAACTATTTTAGATGGAAGATTGAAGAAAGTTAATTAGGGCAATTCATGATAACACAGGAGTTAAGGAACTGTGTAATGTACAGTTTTTGCATGCATTGTTTATATATTGATACCAAGTCCACGTTCCTTACGGCTTCCATAAATGTCTCATTTGGTGTTAGGAAGAAAATGAGCTGGTCGGTCTTGATTACTCTCGGTTGATTGAGGCTTATGGTAGATGTCCCATCAGTGGCATACGGAAAGGATTAGGAGACGAGGTATAACACAGTTGCTTTTTAAATTTGTTGTTGGTACCACATGGGCGGGAGTGGGGTGTGCAGCTTGGTCACAGTGATGATCATGCATTAGAATTGGTGCTACGCCAAGAGATACCAATCTGTCTTATTTTATGGATGTCAGGTCTACCATTATAGCCTCCCCAATTATTTGAGCTTAAGTTTAGAGCGTGTCCAAAAGAGAGCCTTGAAAGTTATATTCGGCTATGATCATCATTATAGAGAAGTGCTTCAGATGGCAGAGCTGAAAACCCTAAGGGATCGGAGAGAAGACATTTGCTTAAAATTCTTTAACAACATGGTCTACAATCCCTTGGATTGTTTGTACCACTTACTGCCTTTCGATAACCGAGATCAACTTATGGAGTTACGACGACGCAGACCATTTAGAGTTTCCTTTAAAACAAATCGGTTCAGAGATACTTTCATCTTAGCGAGCGCAAGACATTTTAACTAACATTTATTATAACTGTATATGTGAATTAGTTCCCTTTTAGGTTTGATTTTATTGTATAGTTCTATTACATAATTTGTACACCTTTGCAATTCAGCTTCCAGTTGCTATTAAGGTATTCTCAATAAACGTCTATCTATCTATCTATCTATCTATCTATCTATCTATCT